GACAAAATATATTAAAATATCATATTTAAAGTTAAATTAAATATTTAACTAATTCTTATATTAAGAATAAAAAATAGTGTGTGTATATATATAGACAGGTAGCTGATGGATGGTGATGTGATGATAATTTTTTTTTTTTTTTTGACCAGCAGGTGATGTGATGATTAGATATACTGAAAGCAGTTGATAAATAATTTAAGTTGATTGTTGGTCCCGAAATGAAAAAACAAACTACTCTTAAGTGTTTATTCATATGGTTGGCCAAAAAAAAAAAGTGTTTGTTCATATGAGATTAATGTTTGACCAACATATTTGTCATTTTATTATTTTGAATTTCTTAAATCCTTCAGGAAGTGGAAGGAAGAAAAATAAAAGAAGTTGTCACACACACACACACACATGCGAGATCTATTGTTTTCTCTAATTTATAAAGGTAACTAAAGTATTTTAGGAAATTTGGATTAGGTAGATAAAGGGAAAAAAGCATTTTTGGCCGAAGAAAATTACCATGCCTGATGGTTATTGCAATAGGTTCTGGCAACTTATGGATTTAAATTTACAAGTAAATTTGGTTGGAAACCTGGAATATATTGTCTGATCACTTTCAATAATAAAATTATTATCTCGGTTGATTAAAAAACTACTATGATTTCACTAAACTGGTTAATTAGAATCATGTTGATTGTTTACTTTATAGTGTTATATATATCGATGTAAATAGTACAAGATTTAATAAGTTAAATTAAATTATTCATGGAATTTCGTACAATGACACATCAAGCAATCTAAAAAGGCTCTTTTATTACTGAACAATGACTCAGAAGTTTCATTCACCCCGTAGATGTTACGCTGCTGGCATTTTTTTTCCTTGATTATATTTTGTTTGTAAGAAGCTAAGCTCCAATCTTCATCAGAGCCTTCCGATAAAATAAAGAGAGGTTGTAACTCATCAAACCTTCCTACACATAGTTCACAGTCGAATATAAAGCCTAATTATCAAAATAGAAATACAAACCTTCGTGTGTGTGAATATTTTGTTTTAGATTTTTATTTGACGTTTTCATGGAAGAAAAACTGAATAATTTTTTTTTGAACAAAAAAATTTAAACGAAAAACCTTATTTCTTTATTTCTCTTATTTGATTTGATTTGATTGTATGCTTTTTTTTGGGTGCAAGAAAGCAAAAGTCTAAAGAACAACAGCAAAACCCCACTGTAATTAGTCAACGGAGCCAACATGACTGTATCCTCAGTCGTAACAAATAAAGTCATCATTCACGTGGAGATAGATCAAGTACAAAGAGCTACTTCCTTGTAACTTAATTTTTTGAATTCTCTGTTATAAGGGGTGTCTACGTTTAATATTTAAAGATACCTCAAATAAGATTGTCTCTACTTTCTAATAAAAGAATACATGTAAATGGTAACAAAAGTCATAATTCTCTCTATTTCTAAATATAATATACTACCTCTGGTTCTTAATATAAGATCTTGTTTGACTTTTATTTTTGTTCTAAATATAAGACCTCAATCTATTTTATCTCTCATACTTATTTATTTTTTTTAAAATAGTTCTTCTAATAATAATAGTTCTAACTAATAAACTTGATTAGTAAAGATAACACTTATTTATTACAAATAATTAATTTAACTTCTTTCTTTAATCTATTCAAATTAGTCAACTAGCTCTTATATTTAGGACTGGAGGTAGTATAATTTTTCTAGCTTATGTGCCTTTTTACAACATATAGTTTTATATTAAGGAATGAAAGGAGCATAAATATTTAAAGTAGGTTTAAACATGATTGTAACGACCTTTTTTTTTTTTTTTTAATTTGGCCAAATGACTATGATGAAGATTACACTTAATTGTCAGCACATGCGTTAGCTTCTCTATAAGTATCAACACGATTAAGAGAAGTGACGAATTATTTATATAATCTTTTCTGATATTCTTTTATTAAGTTTGACAAAAGGATGATTCTTGAGATATTCCCTCAAAAATTTGACTCAAGAGTTTTACTAGCATTAATATAATAAACAATTTGGTTTTCGTGTAACCTTGCACGTTGCATCCAACAAAACTAGAGCCCTCGATTATACCCATGAACGAAATCCTCCCATGTCATTCATCCTCATTTCTTTCCATGTTTTTTTTTTTTTAATCGTTGGATTGATCAATCAGCTTAGAACTGTTATGCATGATTGATTAAGTATTTTAATTTAGGACTAAATAGGTCAAGTTATTCATATTTATTAAGTCAAGTTCGTAAATAAATTTACAACTGTACATACATATTTTAACGATTAGTAATGGCAAAATAACAAGTATCTATATTTTAATGAATTTATAAGTGTAGATAAGCGTTTTAACCGCTAACAATAGTTAAATAACGAGTGTTTATATTAATATTTATAAATCTTAATTTAAATTATCAGAGCTGATTTAAAAATTTGTGAGTGTTCATGAATAAATTAACTGCTGCATATACATTTTAACTACTGATAATAGTAAGATAACAAGTGTGATTGGACAACTTGACCTGTTAGATATAAGTAATTTGACTTAAGTTTTATCTTTTAACTTAATAGTATTGAAAAATATTTAAATATTTTTTAACTTAAATGGTCAAATTAATTAGATAAATTTAATGGACAAAATTAAAATTCAACCATCGAATTGAAATCAAATAAAATGAAGACGCCAGAATAAAATCATGTCTAAAGAATGGGGAAAAAATAAACATGTCATCGGAGGGTTCTTTCACAGAAAAGCTACGTTTTTTTTGACTAAATAAAAGAACAAATTTTAATTCAACGGATCAACTATTGAAATAATAAAGGGGAACATAACAGGAGAGGTCCCCAAACCATGCATTTCGAAGTTAGATATTACTCATAAATTTACAAGTAACTGTCCTTAAATTTATAAGTGACAATGCGTGCACATATATTACCTCCTGTTTTTAATATAAGAGTTAGATAATTAATTTAATAATATTAAAAAAAATTAATTAAATTAGTTATTTATCACGAGTACTTTTCTGATCCTAAATATAGGACTCTTTTTATAATGTAATTTACACTACAAAAAAAGTCCTATATTTAGGACCCCAAGAGCATATATTAGTCTCCCTAAACTAATCATTTTCAATCATTTGTATTGGATTGGATGATTGGAATTATGCCCTTACAATCATTAGGAATATTTTAGGGAAAGATAGGAGATAGAGTCGACTGGAATTTTATATTTAGAATCAAATTCAACTTTTATCTAGTTTCTATATTAAGCATCTATATATATATTGCCAACGCCTAGATTTCATTCCTTAAATTTACGCCTAACCTCTCATAAATTTATTAGTGACTTTCCACGGACTACTTTCTACATTTGGTGCAAAATCACTTATTTTTAATTGCAAATAAAAACCATAGTTGCTTCATGGCATTTTAATAATTAAAGACCCACAATTGTCATTAATATATATTACCTCCGGTTCTAATTATAATAGCTAGTTGACTAATTTGAGGAGATTAAAGAAGTAAGTTGAGTTAGTTATTTGTCCTAAATAGGTGTTGTCTTTTTTAAAATATCCTTGCCAATCAAACGTATTGATTAGAATTATCATTGTTAGAAAGACTATTTTGGAAAAAAAAAAGTATAAATACGAGAGATAAAGTGGATTGGAGTCTTATATTTAAGACCAAAATAAAAGTCAAACAAGATCTTATATTAAGAACCAGAGGTAGTATATCTTTACAAATTTTGGAATTGTCATTTTTCCATCATACGCTATTGAATATACAAATCGCAGGAGAACCAGACTGGTTTTGCCCTGTTCCATTCATGATAACACAAAAGGAAAAGTCCATATGGATCCCGCTTTTCTCCTTTGCCCCTTCCCTGCCTTTCTTTGCCTGAAAGGACACCGTTTTGGTGTAGAGATGGTAAGGTGGCCTTTTTTTTTTTTGTCAAAAATATTTTTCAGTACCATTTATCATTTTGAATTATTTTTTCAGTATCACTTAGGATTTTAATATAATTTTTGGTCTAGACAGTATCCTAAAATATTTTTCTGTAAAACCCAGTATTTAGCTTCCAGTTTACTGAAGTATTTTTTTAATACAATATGGTAGCCTAAAATATTTTTTTAGCACCACCCAATATTCGAAAATAATATTTGACCTACTTAGAGTCCTAAAATATTTTTTTTATCGCATCCATTATCTGGCTTCTAAGCACATTTAAGTATTTTTTTTAGTAGCACCCAATATTCTTAATTACTTTTTAGTGTACCCAGTATACTAAATTATTTTTTGAGTGGCACTTAATTTCTTGAAATAATTTTTGGCACAATATTTTTAGGGCATTGAATGTACCAAAAATTAAGTTAGGATATTGGGTGTTACTGAAAAATATTTCATGTGTCGAAAGCCAAATATTGGGTGTTATAAAAAAAAAATATTTTCAGCCTCTGACTGTACTAAACATTATTTTAGGATAATGGGTGATGCTGAAAAATATTTCAGTGTGCTAGAAGTCACATACTACTACTTGGGGTTATGGAAAACTATTTTTGGGCTTTGACTACACCAAAAATAATGTTAGAATATTGGGTGATACTAAAAAAATATTTCAAGATAATAAGTGGTATAAAAAAAATACTTGATGATGCTGAATGCTTATTTTTAAAAAAATAGTGCCACCTCACCATTTCTACAGTAAAACGGTGTAGTTTTAAGGAAAAGAGGGCAACGGAGAGATGAAGCAGAGGAGAGCGGCAGAGGGAAAAGGATAGAAAGGGAGTGGCGGATGAGAAGGGGCAAAGGGGAGCAGCCGGGCGCAACTGTGCAAGTCAAGATGGGGCCGTCCTCTTCATCATCTTCTCTTATTTAAAAAAAATTCAAATTATTAGTAATAAGAAAGATCCTATATTCTATGTAAAATACAATACATATCAAATCCTTGCGAAAATCACACAACTTTGAAAATGATGATACACCGATCCTTTATTTCTCCCCAATTCTTTCACACTATGTAGCCTAATAATAATACCTCACGGCCATATCATCAACAACCTCTCGTCCTTTTTGTTCTCTCGCTGATAGGAGTCTTGCCGGACTTCTTGCTTCGTCTTCTTCCTGATTCAGCGGCCAAACGTGAGAACTGGGGAAGCTTGGAGCAATCAAATTATGGATGCCACCGCCCAAACAGGGAAAATATATGTCGCTGTGAGTAATGATCTTCAAGATGGAATCAAAACCTTGAATTGGGCTCTCAATAAATGGAAATCTTATCCTATTTCCATTGTTATTCTCTACGTGAGTCACAATACTTCCAAGGATCATGTTACTACCCCTTGTAAGTTTCTCCCCAGAAATTTTCTTGTAAAAATCTGTTGTCTTCTCGAGATTGTCCTTCAAATCAACTTGGTTTCTCTTAGTTCTGGGATTCTTTTGCAGTTGGCAAACTCCCAGCAAGATCTGTGAACGATGAGATGCTACCAGCTCTCAGGAAACAAGAGCAAGAGAAAATCGACAAACTTCTTTCCAAGTACATATCTTTCTGTGGGAAGGTTTGTAAATTTTTGTTGCTTTAGTATAAGCGTTTCTCAATCGGATTCGATGATGAATTGATAATAATTTTACATGTTTCCCTCTTCTTCTTCCGTTTCTGCGTATTAATTACAGGTGCCAGCTGAAATACTTGAAGTCGACAAATTTGACGAACCTATTCAAAAACGTGTAGTAGACATGATTATTGGTCTAGAAATAACCAAACTCGTCATTGGATTTTCAGTGATGAAGCCCTCCTGGTATTTCATTTTTCCTCTTGCTTTTTTCTTTCCCTCCGAGAGAAAAGTCTAACCAGGATTTTCTAAATGCTCTCTTTCTCTGTTCTTGTGATATATATAGGAAATCACGAGGTGCCATAAGCGGATTGTTCTATATTCATCAGCATAAGCCTGAATTCTGTGAACTGTTCATTTTATGCGGAGGGAAACAAGTATTCATGAGAGGACAGAACGATGAGAAGACCATGGAGGACGATAATGGGGTTGTGGTTGCCAGAATGAGAGACAAGATAACATTCAAAGATTGGTTAGATAAACTGTTGCCTGAGAGAAGCCATTTGGATTCCCCAGACTATCGTGGATCAGCAAATTCTTCATCAGCAAGTATGGAATCCCCAGGTTCACAGAACCAGTGGGAATTCTATCTCCAAGAGATTGAAACTTATTTCCAGGATTTGTTGTCTTCTCACATGAATGATGAACAATTGAGCCTTGAGCATCAAGACAGTGACGTCTCGCGGATTAGTGGAGTTGAGCCAGATGATGTCAGGGAACAGAACAATTCTAATATGGTATGTTAGAAACAATGGTCTCTCACAGATATTTTATCGAACATGTGGCCGTCGAGGCGTCATTTTTCCTCTATAAAGCTATCTGCTTTGTTTTGTTTCACTTTGTATCTTCCAAGGAGTAGTTAGATGATGGCTTATACTTTATTATTTGCACAGGATATTGAGAATAAAGGGGTTTGTGTGTGAAAGTTTGAAACAACCATCTGGTTTCAATGATTTTGCCTTTATATTTCTTCTGATTTCCAGTTTGACTCTGTTGCCATTTGATTTTCCTATGGGACCCATTAAGAATTGGGCACTGAAGAAGATCCAGATTATATGGATGCTGTTCTTTTTTTCCCCCCTTATGGAGATTCTTACCAATCAAAAGGAGATAAAAGGGCATCTTCAAACTAACATTTTTGTTCATGAATCTAATTAATACAAAATCAAAACTTGCTTTCTGTTGGCAGAGAGGAGCGGAAAGAATTGAGATGTTGAAAAGAAAACTGGAGGAGGCACATAAGATGATCCAGCTGAAGAGGAAAGAAGCTAAGGATCAAAGTGATAGACATGCAAAAGCTGAATGGGCTATTTGTTTATGCAACGCTCGGGTAATTTTTTCTAAGCTTGTGTTTGTAATCTCCTCCCCATCTATTTCTTTTTTCCCTTTAATAAACCCTTAAATCATTCTATCTTACTCTTTTGGCTCTTCATATTTTAACGAGAATAATTTATTTTATATGTTTATTAATTAGCAATATATATGTTTAGCATGTTTGTGTATGATATAAATATAATATTAAAACATCAAATAGTTTTGTATTTTTTTTGACAGGATCAAATGAAAAGTGCACAAAAATAGTTAAACCAAATAATATTAACCCAAGTATTTGATCGTTATAATTATCCGCTTATGCTAATTAAAGTATTAATATTGGACCTAAATATTGGATAACTCCATTATCATAATTCTTTTTTTTTTTTTTAAAGTTACCCATAAAATTTAAACCATGGAACTTGCTTAAAATTTATCAGGTATATTTTGCCCCCACCAAATTATCATTCACAGCTAAAAGTATATTTTAGTTAAACTTTGAATTATTCTAAATCAATTCTGAATGATGCTTAATAATTTTGATTTTTTTTCCTGCTTATTAACCAATACTGATGTCTGGTGATTCCGTGATTCAAACACTAAAATCAAAGAATAAAGTGAACTTTTGACAAAGTGATGCGGAAAAGATTCCGATCCGTGTGCCGTGTGCGTTTTGGTCGGGAGCGTGTTTCTTGCTTTCTTTTTGCTACTATGGACGGCGGAGAAGTTGGGGCGAATGTGGAGGCACAGAGTTGCCTCTATATGCTTCTCTTTAATTTGATAACCTATCCCTCAAATTCATCCTCATTGGAAGATTCTGATCCAATCATCATCACTCAGCATGCCGTGCATTTTGCAGGCTCAAGAACTTGAAGGCAAAATCAAGGAAGAGATCAACATGAAGGAGGAGTTAGCAAAAGAATTGGAAGCAGAAAAGGAAACCATATACGAAACCAGACGTGATATTGAAGAGAGCAGAAAGAGGTTAAGCTCACTGTTGGAGCTTCAATTGGAGCTCTCAAACAAGCTTCAGATCTCCACACAGGCAAGGTCACAAGCTGAAATTCAATTGGAGAATGCGGCGAATACCAGGTCGGAGATGGTGGCCGAGATCGACGAGCTTAGGAGACAAAGAGACGTGCTTTACAGAAGGATCGAGTTTTGCAAAGAAAAGGACGCCATCGGAATGGCGGCGAGGCTGACGGAACCCAGTTTGAATTTTAGAGAGTACACGGTCGACGAGATCAGGTTGGCCACCGACGACTTCTCCGACCGCCTCATGCTGAAGTCCGGTGGTGCCGACTGGACCAACGTTTATAGAGGAAAGATCAACCATTCCACCGTAGCCATCAAGATCCCCCCTTCCAATCATGCCTTGTCACCCCAAGAATTCCAAGCTCAGGTGAATTTTTCACAATCAAGAATCAACTATAAATATATTTGGCGTCAATAGCTCAGAACTCATACTTAATGTTATCAGGTGAGACTTCTTGGGGCTATTCGGCATCCTCACGTGCTGGCGATGGTGGGATTTTGCAGTGAACTAAAATGCATAGTTTTGGAATATATGAATAATGGCAGCTTGAGGGACATGCTATTTTCCAGGAGAAGAAACCGAGCCTTACCATGGCAAGACCGAATCAGGATAGCCGCCGAAGTTTGTTCGGGCTTGGGCTTTCTTCATTCGGCCCAGCCCAAACCCTTCATCCATGGGCACCTGACGCCTTCCAGCATCCTTCTCGATCGCAACCTCGTTGCCAAGATCAAAGGTTTTGGGTCCAACGAAGGCAACCCACAATCTGATGTAAGGGCCTTTGGAGTTTTGATCATGCATTTGCTGACGGGAAGAAACTGGGTGGGCCTGGTTGAGGAGGAGATGAAGATGGGAGAATCTTTGATGAAGGTTTTGGATGAGACTGCTGGGCCGTGGCAGTTGAATGTGGCCCAAAAGCTAGCAGACTTAGCCTTGAAGTGCATGGGCTTTCCTAATGGGCCTAAGCCCAAGGAAGGGCTAAGCATCGGAAATGTAATGCTGGAACTAAATGAGATCAGAAGAGAGGCTAATGACGAAGGTGCTAGAGGAGACACAACAAGATTTAGCGGAGGTGTAGATAAAGAAGAGCTTATGGATGTGCCCAACGTGTTTCTTTGTCCCATACTTCAGGTAAATGTGTTCTTGTTGTGGATTTCTGTCGTGAAATATATGTAATATTTTGTATAATTAATTAATTAATGCGGGGAGTTACGTGGGATGATGCAGGAGGTGATGAAGAATCCACACGTGGCAGCGGATGGGTTTTCATATGAATTAGAAGCAATAGAAGAGTGGGTGGGTTCAGGGCATGAGAGATCGCCAATGACAAACGCAAGGCTGCCTCACTTGTTTTTTACCCCTAATCACTCCCTTCGTTCCCTAATTCTGGACTGGCAAACCAAAAGATCTTCTCATTTTAAATAATTAGTGCTCCGCTTTGTTCATTATGTACAGAGTTCAATTGAGGCTTATTTAAGAGAGAATCATAAGGTTTGAGAGATCCTGTTGACCCATTAATTTTCACCACAGAAGGAATCCAATACACGTGAACCAAATTAAGGGGAAGTAATAGCAACATGGGCAATCGTCCCAACAGAAATTCAAAGTTGTAAGATATTGGTTCCTTTTACTGCGCTCGATTTCATTTGTTCAATGAAAACATTTTGATAACTCTAAATGATTAACAGGCTAGCTATGCCAAAGGTGATCCCAAACACAGCTTTTATATGTAAATTCTGTATTATTTCTTATTCTTAATATAAGATTTTATTTGAATTTAATGTTAAATATAAAATTCTCATCCATTTTGTTTCTTATATTTATCTTTTTTTTTTTTTCAAAGTGTCCTTATAATGGTTACACATGCTAAGTGTTCTATTAAATAGTAATTTTAATTAATATACATGATTAGCAATAATATCACATCTGGTTCTCAATATAAAAGTTAGTTGACTAATTTGAGTAAATTAAAAAAGTTTGTTAAGTTAGTTTTTTGTAATAAATAAGTATTGTCTTTCTAGAACACCCTTATTAATCATGTGAATTAGCTAGAATTATCATTTGATAGAATTTTTAACATGTATAATTGCTACAAGGGCTACTTTAAAAAAATAGATAAATATGAAAAATAAAACGGATTGAGGTCTTATATTTGTTTAGTTTTTATATTAGTGATCGGAGGTAGTATCTGAAAAAAGACAATACATATTCGTTATAATTATATTAAGAACCGAAAGTAGCATAGTTTATACAATAATTTTTGAATTGATTTCTAAAGTAAATTCACATTTTCGGAAGTAAAATCGTTTGTGGGTATAAATTCTGGAATGCTTTGTCTGTCACGGGGGTGATGAGGAATACTCATACCTGTCATGATTCGTGCTTGGCAGTGACTTTGAAACGCAAAAACGGGACCGTAGAGCTGTAGAGTAGATTTGGGGGTATTTGGATGACTAAGAAAAAACGCTTTTAAAAAATAATTTTACGCAAGTGAAAGCAAATCGAAACAAAACTTTTGAAAATAATGATCGAAAAATAACAAATGAACTTTATAAACTAAAATCGTCTGTTGAATTTAAAAAATCCTAATTTAGTCTCAAGAGACTAATTTGATATTTATAAGTATGTTGAATTAACCATATTGTTTTTTATTTTATTTATTGTTTTTAAAATACAAAAATCCCCACTGGCCGGCCGGTCACCGGAACTCTGGTGACCGACCGACAATTGGTCACCTGAGCTCCGGCAGTCAAAAACAATTTTTTAAAATTTTTTATAACTTTAGTATAACAGTTAATAACTTTTGCAACGCTATTAACAACTTCAGTATATCAGTTAACAACATGTTTTTTGAAAAATTCAAAAAGCTCCGGCGGCTGGAAATATTTTGAAAATTTTTACAACTTCAGTATAACAATTAACAATTTTTGTAACGCTATTAATAATTTTCGTACAGCAGTTAACAACAATTTTTTTGGAAAATTCAACAATTAGTCATTGGAGCTTTGGCGGGCAGAAACAATTTTTTTTGAAAATTTTTATAATTTCAATATAACGGTTAACAACTTTTGTGATATTATTAATAACAGGTCTTTTAAGAAATTCAAAAAGTAGCATTTTTATAACTTCAATAATGCCGTTAACAAGTTCCATAACTCTATTAAAAATTTCAGTATAGCATTTAACAACATGTTTTCTTAAAAATAAAAAAAAGCATTTTTACAACTTTAGCAACTACTTTTTTTTGGTTGAATTTTTTACAACTTTAGTATAACAGTTAACAATTTTTATAATGTTATTAATAACTCTAATATAACAGTTAACAACAAGTTTTCTGAAAAATTCAAAAAGTAGCATTTTTACAACTTTAGTAATATCGTTAACAAGTTCCGTAACTCTATTAACAACTTTGGTATAGCATTTAACAACAAGTTTCTTTAAAAATTTAAAAAAATGGTATTTTTATAATTTTAACAACTACTTTTTTTAAAATTTTTTATTACAACTTTAGTATGACGATTGACAACTTTTATAACGCTATTAACAACTTTAATATAGTAGTTAACAACAGGTTTTTCAGGAAATTCAAAAAGTAGCATTTTTACAACTTTAATAATGCTATTAACAAACTCAAAAACTTATTGTTAACCGCTATACTGAAATTGTTAATAGCATTATAAAAGTTGTTAACCGTTATATTGAAGTTGTAAAAAATTTTAAAAAATTGTTTTTGGCCGTCGGAGCTCCAACAACCAATTGTTGAATTTTCCGAAGAACCTGTTATTAACTATTATACTGAAATTGTTAATAACGTTACAAAAGTTGTTAACTGTTATACTGAAGTTGTAAAAATTTTCAAAAAAATTATTTCCAACCACTGGAACTTATTGAATTTTCCAGAAAACTTGTTGTTAACTACTATACTAAAGTTATTAATAATGTTACAAAAGTTGTAAACGTTATATTGAAGTTGTAAAAATTTTCAAAAAAATTGTTTTCCGACTGCTGGAGCTCTAGTGACTAATTATCGGTTGGTCGCCGAAGCTCTGGTGACTGCTGCCACCAGAACTCTGTGACCGACGATCAGTAGAAACTTTGATATTTTAAAAAAATAAATAAAATGAAGGATAATAATCATTTTAGTAAACTTGTAAATATCAAATTAGTCTCTTAAAACTAAATTAGAATTTTTCAAATTGCCATTTTTCCGAAACTTTTGGCATGTACTACTTTGCATACTGTCCTGTTCTGTGCCCAGTGCCAACCTATCATCAACTATTTTCTACGAGTTTCTATACAAGTCCTTCGGCTACAAGCCAAAGGTCATTGACACCTTTGCCCTCCTTGCTTCTTTTCCCTCCCTAATATCGCGCATCATGCATTCCTAAAATGCCCAACTGCAACGGCAACGAATAACGAAAATTCAGTGAAAAAGCAGAGGCCGTAGTCGTGACAACCGCAAGAGTCGAAACCATGGCGGCGGCGGCAGCTGATGAGTCGTCATCGTTTTGTTCATCCTCTATCTTCTCCCAGAAAAGCACCAGGCTTCCTGATGACACCGTCTTCTACGCCATTTTTCCCGACTTCGTACTCGACCCCACTACTCCCAACGACCTCTCCTCTCTACAATCCCTCCACCTTCAAATCATTCAATTTCTTTCCCCCTTCACCACCGATTACATCTGGCAGCATGAGCCCTTCACCCTCACCCCCTCTTCAACCCCCAGGTCTTCTTGTGTCTGCTCCTCTGACCTCCCTCACCTCCACGGCAAGGTTCGTTTCGGCGACAACCTCGAGGACGAGTGGTTCACCGTCTTCCTTCTCTTCCAAATCTGTCTTCACTTTCCCTCGCTCTCCATCAGAGTCTGGGACACTGACGGCGAGTTCTTGCTCATCGAAGCAGCATTCCATCTCCCTCGTTGGGTTAACCCAGACAATAGCCTGAATCGCGTCTTCCTTCGCCAAGGTGACCTTCATATAGTTCCGCGTAATCGGCTTTCAAGCCCGAGTTTAGCTGATTCGTTGAAATTTTTGGTCGGCTGTGGAGTCGAATCGAGGGCGTCAGAGTCGGTTCAGAGGGCGGTTAAAAAAAAGATTTCAGATTACCCGGATAGAGCTAGGAGGAATATGCATAGGGTTAGGGTCAGGGTTCCGGTTTCAGTCGCCCAAGTTTTGAAGCAGGAGCCTTGCATGATTTCGCTTGCTGTGGAGGGCTTTTATGACAGGGATATTGATACCATGAAGTTTGCGGCGACCATGGAGAAATTCTTGGGCAGAGGGAAAGACGAAGAATTGGTATGTGTTTCTGTGAAGATGTCTAGGGCAATGTATGCACAATTAGTGCAGCAAACGTTTCAAGCGCCAAAATGTTATCCAATGCCGAGCAGGAGCGACTTGTCAGTGTACATGGAAGCAGAGTTGGGCATGAAAATAGCTTGTGGGCTTGAGATGATGTATCAGCAGCGCAAGCGTGATGGAGTAGAAGGGAGAGGGAGCACGTGGGAGGCATTTAAACAGGCTTTGGAGAGGAGTGGTTATTTCCAAGGGCTGCTACCAGGTTCCAAAGAGTATCAGAGGTTAATGCAAAATGCTGAGGAGTATTATAGAAGCAGTTCTGTGTACTCCAGAGTCAGGTATGTTTTCTGTATTGACATTACCAGCACCACTGAAGTAGCCTACGTCAGGATTAATTTAAAAAAAAAAAAATCCATTGTGTCTGAAGAAAGCTGTAAATTCAAATAGGTTTTCCAGACTTATGACGTGGTATTAGTATTTGATGGGAAGGAGGGTCTGGGGTATCCGTATCATAGACTTTTCGAATTTTGGTAATTCAATTTTGGGAATGATAAATTTGGGTTGTTGTTCGACATTTTGGGCTATGGATTATAGAATTTGGATTCTCTTTTGAAATTCTTGCCATTTGTCACAATTCTAATTTATAGTCATTGAATTGACCCGAGTTGTCATTATCTTACTTTTTTTCCCTGAAGTAGAGGGAAGCCATATGTATTTCTTTCCCATTTGGTTTGAATTGCAAATCCATAAAAAAAGATCAATCTAAACCATTAGATTGATCTTATGATTAGAAATTAGAATTGAGATAGATCGATGGAATTCTGAAGTGAGAGAATCCACATATGTGGGTCAGGAACTCAAATTTCGCTCCCTCCCCGGGAATATGTTTTCTGCTTTTAGTTCTCGAGTTAATCTTGGTTTCTTATTTTGTCATTACTTTACTAATGTGAAAATTTGTTGCAGTGACTTGCTGAGTGCTCCTGTGAGACGCATTGATGAAATCCTTGCTTTACCACATTCAGTGGATGATTTTAAGGATCAGGAGGTCCCTCCATCTGATGATGATTCATGGCTCTATGGTGGAGACGAAGAGTTGAACTCTGTTCTTCTTGAAAGACAAAAGGAGATGGAACTTTATGACCTAAAACATAAGAAGAAAGGGAAGGGGAAAGAGCAGCAAGAGGAGGGTCTATCATCTGGTTCTAATGCTAGAGAGTTTAATCCTGCTGATATAACAAATACTATGCAGGCTTTTGTCCACAAAGTGTCAAGCTACAAAGGAGCTGAAGCTCCTGAAAGCATGTTAGTTATACTATAATTTTTTTTTTTTTAAACATATTTGATATGCATTCTGTACACATAGTATTGGCATCTTTTTCAGGTTAGGTTTGGGTTATGGTATGAGATTATCATTAATGAGGTTCAGCCAAAGATATTGAGTGTGTTCCATATGCATTGTTTCATGGAGGTCTGAGTACAGGGACTAATAATCTAAGGCCTATAAGCTTCCATTTTTCTCTCTTTCCTTTTTCCCTGGGTATTTAAATTTGGAAACACTCGTGCCATTTGTTATGCAGTGTTGATTACTCATAATTCCGCATGCCTTATGATTTTTCCAGGTTATTTCATGATATCTACAAATTAAGGCTGTGCTCAACTTGATATTTTGGAATTTTGGATATTTTTAAGAGTACTTGCTGTATGATGATCACTCCTTAATTTTATATTCTCTCGTCCTTTTAAGGAATAAGGAAGTGGACCTGGATGTGGACCAATTCATTAAGGACATGGAATCAGTAATGAAGCACCAAGGAGTTAAAGATGATGACAGTGATGTTGAAGAGGGCTCCTCATCTGAAGTGGACTTCGGTAACATCTGTGTTATTGAAACAAATTATCTTCTCTTGTTTTGTTTTAATTTGATATTTGTTACAACCATTTTCCTGCAAAGAACATGTATTGCTCCAATGGATCATGTATTGCACTTTACATGATTTATCATAGGCATGCATAGTTGCACATACATTTTGGTTCACAGCTTCACTTAAGTTTCAACTTTCTTCTAGCGATCTGTTTTATGCAAATGTTCCAGCTCCTTTTCGGTTTAGGAGGAAGGGCAGCTCTAGAAGTCACAGATTGTTTTCTGCCTTCATGAACAAGCATGAGCAGCTGCCTTAGCATGTGATCTTTTGCTGCTGCTGCTTCATAATACTTTTTTTTTTTTTTTAATAATTTTTAAAATTTTTTTTTCCCCTCTTGAGGAATGATTCAAACAATACCCCAAGGAAAAAACCTACTACCACATAAGGTTCAAGCCTTTTGATGGAGCACTTGAGTAATAAATAAAGATACAGTCAAAAGAATGAATCTCAAATTATGTATGCCTCAAACTGTGAAAATAATTACTAAAAGTAAATGCCACAATTCATTATTATTTTTCTCTCTTCATTCAGGCATGATATCTAGACTGTTCTAACGTGTGAATAAGAACTTACAATTGTGCTATCTTGAGCTTATTTACGTGAATGCTTTGAGCGGCATTCAATGTATTTAATCAAGTAGTGAAAGTTGATATGTAGTTGTTGCAGTTAAATAAAATAAGTAATTAAAATTGAGGCTTGTAGCTTAAAAAGTGCATGATGTTTATGGATGGAGGAGCTTATTATTGCATAAAATATAAACTTCTTGCTCCTTTTCTAAAAACTTATCTGTTTGTGCCAGTCAAGTTTTCTTTTGCTCAGGTAATTTACGCATATAAGATGTTTCTAATTGTTTGTGAATTATGTTATTAGCAGAACAAAATTCACTGACTATAAAACTAGCATTTCTGTTTTAGCATGCAGATAATAACCAAAAGGATAATGATTTCTTTCCAGGAAAATTAATCAATATATGAACAATCGATGGTGCATGTCTACCCCTGCTATATCTCTTAAGGTTTCTTATGGTTTTGTGAATAATTGTGTAGATGATTCTGATGAGAGCGATATGGCTGAACCTGACAATGAAGATGGTGGAGATACATTCATGCAGTCCTATTCTGATGCAATGAGTGAAGAGCTGAAGGCAACCACTCTGGGAAGAAGTTTTGTTCGTGCTAATGAACAAATTCCCAAGAAGGATGAGGTATTTTGCTTGTGTTTGCATGTAGGAAAAAACTATTCAATTTCTTATGACATAAATATTACCTGGCCTCACGAAGCCAATTCAAAAGTTAAGCAGTGAAAGATAAGCAGGTTTGCCGTGAACTATGACTCAAATTTGGCTCTTGATTTGGTGCCCAAGAGGACAAGTTTTTTTGACCATTTTCCCTTATTCACGTCTGATGAGGGGGCAATGTGCACATTCACATGAGAATTTGGCTTTTATTTTGTTCAGCAAAGTCTCATAGCTGTTAGAAGGCTGAATGCTGTTGCATGAATGATTTTCTTTGTAATTCTCCAGCAGGAAACATCGAATACCGTGGAAAATATGGATGAAGATTTTTCTCCAGTTGATGTGGATCTGAATTTGGTAAAAAGCTTTCTGGATTCCTTTTCTTCCCAACAAGGACTCCCAGGCCCTGCATCGAATTTACTTGGCCTCATGGGGGTGCAGTTCCCACAAGATGACAACAAGGGGAAATGAAATTACTTGAATAATTTAGTCCAAGATTTTGGGGATGCTTCAACAATACAATCTAGATAGCATGTTTCATCATCTTGTTTCTCAAGCTCTTACCATGCAGGCAGGGATCTGCTTGATTGATTCTATAGAGAAATCCCAGCCGTGATGTAGAACAATGATACTGGTTTTAATTCCTTGAGTAAAGAAGCGTGTTATGACAGAATTTGCTTTTGCAAAAAGCAAGGCAATCATTTGCTGCAGTGTTGATCTTAGCTATATTATGGAAAAAAGGCAATACAGTCATCTGCTGGAATTTGATCTGACCTATTTGATAACAGCAAACTTTGTCGCCAGTTTACCCGCATATTCATACTCTCCAAGTACACTCACTAGTCCCCACGCGGGGATTTGAAGTGCTGTTGCGGTGTACTGTTGGTATGTTTTATTGTCAGTTAAGATGTGGTTGGTTGCTGTGAAGTTCGTATTCTTCATTGTCAGCCGCCTGCGGTTGATCATGCCTGTGAGATGTACAATTTTGATGTCAGAAAGACAATGTAGAAGCTTATTATATTGAGGTTCTTTTATTGTAAAACATCATGTATTTCATTGTTTTCTTTTTAAAATCAGTAAGAAGTTTAATTGCAATTTTAGGTCAGACGCTTCACAAAAGCCATGACATTGTGACCTGTACCCTGCGTTTGGATGAGAAAAAAAATGGAAGGAAAAATTAGGAAAAAAGAGACAATTAAAAGAGAGAGCAGGGGAAAGAATTGATTTTCTTCTGTCTGGATAGCAAGCAACGGAAGACATAATGCAAGGAAATGACTGAGAAAATAAATTAGGGGAAATTATTATAAGGTCTCAAATAATTATAATAAAGTTCTAATGACAAATGAGTTGCTTGTATTTGTTGTCATCCAATGTATTAAAATTTGTCATTACAAGTAGATTTTTTTTATTGATGACATTCTTTCCTTGAAATCTCAAGATGGTTCTAATAAGTTGTGGGAGTCCCTTTCCCTCTCAGCCTACTTAAAGGAAGTTACATAAGCTTGTTGTGCCTAATATTTGAATTTTTATAACTTCAGTGATTTTATGTCAAAAGCTTGTAGAGGTTGAAAAAAATTAATGTTTTGTCCCTTTAATTAAAGTTGTGATAGCTCAATTAACTACTAAATTTGCTTATTTAGATATTCACACAAAAAAATTGTCTTTCCTAATTAAATTTTTCATAGAAATATATTGAATATATTCTCTATCAAAATATGACATCTCCAATTCAAAGATGAACAATTGTTAAGCAAACAATTAATTAGGGGTGTGCATGAAAATACAAATACCCCTGAGTTTACCCGAGTCCGAAGAAAAATTGCCTAGCCCAGCCAGGAAAAAAAGAGCCCAAAAAAGAATGGGCATCTTTGGGCTAGGCATTTTCATGGGCAGGGCTGGGTATTGGCAAGACATGCTGCCCTGCCCATTTGACCCTGCCGGATTATATATATTATAATTTATGAAATAATATTAATATATTAGATTTCTTACTAAAAAAAAAAATATCTCCCTCTTCTTTGCAATTTAATTTATTATTATTACATGTCTATTAGTTTTCCATTTTAGGGGGATCTAATTCTTCTAAAGAAGCAGTAGTATCTTGCTTTTAACTTAACTTGTTCTTCGTGGCTTATTGGGTATATTCTATTGTGTGTTGCTGTTGTAATGTTGCTATTTATAAGTCCATCTTCCCCTCTATGCCATTAACAACTTTTTTTGTTAGAGAATGGAGTTCATACATTA